GAGACAAGCTTCCTAACCATTACGCCGCCTCGAGGTGCCCTAGTGATTTTCCAAGTGTAGTTTAGATGTGGCACAAAGCCGAAAGTAGAGGGCAGCCAGTGAAGATTTAACTCACTACTCAGTCGTAACTGTTCTGGCGCGACAAGCTTGGTAACCATTACATCGCCACGAGGTGCCTTTTTTTCTGGCTTTAAATAACCTGCAAAGAATTGATAAACCGTAGAAAACGAATGATTAAGTAAAATTCCTAACCTTTCGTTTGAAGTCTGGAATGGATTGCCTTATTTTCTGTTCATTTGACATGTTATTGCCGTTTTAGTTACTGCCGCTGTTGGAAGACTTCAACTGAAGTGGTACCTTATTTGGTAAAATTCTTTGTGATTCTGTAGCGCCAGTCTTTGAAATCAGATGAAGGATTGTTTTCTTTCAGATCGTCAGGGTTCATTAGTCTAAAGTCGATTTTTAATATCGTTTTGAAACACCAGTTCCAGTTCGATCATCGAAGTTAAGGAACGTCGAACCTGGTCAATATGGGTGTTGTAGCATACCTACGACCGATAATAGGTATGTCCCCATTCACATAAATACAGTAGTAAACACTGTATGTTGGTCTGCAGTTGGACATTCGTCTCGAGCTGTGCTGGTCAAACTCTCTCCTTCTGGACAGAGAGGATCCCCAGACGAGTCTATGTCGAAGGGCGGAGTCTCGTCTAGGGAAACAGCTACTCGACCACGTTTTATACGGGGTCTACAGGGAATTTTTGACCAAGCCTACGGGTTCGGATACCCCGCATTAAATTCTGCCTTGTGTCACATCTGACCGCGTGAGGCGGTTGGTAGATATACTGCAGTTGGAGATTCGTCTCCAGCTGAGCTGGTCAAATTCTCTGCCTCCGGAGAGAGACGATCCCCAGACGAGGCTATGTCGAAGGGTAGAGTCTTGTCTCGGGAAACAGCTGCCAGACCCCGATTTATAATGGGTCTACGGGAAATTTTTAGCCGAGCCTTTTTATCTCGAATATCCCACATGTAAACTTGACTTTGTGCCACACCAGACTACATAGGGCGGTTGGTAGTTATCCTGCAGTTGGAGATTCGTCTCCATCTGTGCTGGTCAAACTCTTTGCCTCCGGGCAGAGAGGATCCCCAGACGAGGCTAGATCGAAGGGCAGAGTCTTGTCTCAGGAAACATATACACGACCTGCAATTTGAGATCTATTGTGGAATTCACTTGTTTCACTTTTAGCAGTTGACTACTTCTACGCACCGCTAGCGAATCTTATATGCGTTGTTTTTGTCCTAAGTATTATCGTTCATTACCAACCTTCGTCTGATTATTCTATTCAGTAACCTTCCCTAGGTTACAACAATGGGTGACTGCCGTTACGGTTCATTATCTTGAATCAATTTTTAATAAATAATCCGAGAACCCCCCCCCAAAAAAAAACAATTGTCTATAGCCGATAGTTTAGACCTTTCTGTACAAGATGGGCGCCATGTTGGTTATTCACATAAGACATGAATATTCAAATATATGTTCAATGGCGACAAGTTATTTTACTTTAAAGGAGTGGCGTCACTGGAATATTTACTAAACCAAACAGCTTATAGTTTGTTTTTCATTATCCTCTGACCTTATAGATCATTAGCACGGCAAGTGTGTTAATATTTTCTACATTTAGCGCAAATGTTTTTACTTTGGCGGGAAGATAACCTAAGTTATTCCGAGATAATTAGTGAATATTTTTTTATTTCCTCATGCGCTAAATGGGAGCATGGCCTGCTGGTTACAACGTTAGAGTTCTGTGTCAAGGAGAACCGGGTTAAAATCTGCGGATGGTCGATTTGTTAAGTAGATAAATTGGAGGAGAGTGATCCGGAAGTATAATTTTTAATAGGTTTCCCCCAAGCAAGACGAGAGGGCCACTAGTAGGTAAAGAGCTACAGAGATTTAAAGTATGAGTAAAGAGGGGGGTGTTTGAAGAAAGAATAAAGAGAAGGACGGGGATCAGGATCAAAGCAGGAGAAGATGTCGACTGACATTATATTTGAATATTTGAAGTCTATAGCTATCCGGGAAGAAAGTAGGAGAAATGAAGTTCCAATGTCGGGAAGTAAGAGAGAAGTTGTTGAATAGAAGAGACGGCTACATTAAACCGTTTCGACAGTGAAATAGTGGGACCGAGATGTCGAACTAGTAGCACGCTTAAATTCATGAAGTTGGGGTACCAGTGAAAGTAGCTTGTCAGTGCAGTTACTATGAAAATATTTGTAACAAACGGCAGATGAAAACCACAGCACGTCTGTGAGAAAAGTGACTGTACGAGTTTCCAGATCAGGACCTTTCATATTGCATATCAGTCTCTGGATATATATATATATATATATATATATATATATATATATATATATATATTATATATATTTCAATAGTTAAGCAATTTTTTTAGATATAGTTAAAAATTTTTAAACAACATCTAAAAATATTTGACAGTTAGATTTAAGTTAGGAATATCCGAACAGTGACGTTCCATATCACGTGACGTCCGAGTCTCGCGACGGACGCTACTTGCTAACAAACTGTAATTTTAATTTATTTGTAGCAAACAGTTATTTCTGATGAAAGATTGAGAACAACCTGAAATATCAAATATATATATAAATAAATAAATATTTTCATAAAATAAAACATTATTATTTTTTTAATTTCAACTTTCTCTCTCTCTCTCTCTCTCTATATATATATATATATATATATATATATATATATATATATATATATATATATAGTTTATGAAAAACTAGGTAATCCGTATGGGTAAACCTAAGGAGGATATAATCCAGAGAGCTCAATGTAAATCCAGAGCAAATAATTTAAATAAAAACATACCACTATAAGGTTCCATGTAATAAATTATTTCACCACAGCCCTTTTAAAAGGACTGCGGATCATCAGACTTTATTTCTAAACAAAAAATGGAAAGAAAACTTACACATTTTTGACGCGCCGTATTAAACATATGTAAATTAACGAAGTGAGGAAGTGAGGGGGGAGTGAGAAGACATGAGTGAGTCAGCAGATATTGACACATTTAAACGATTAACTTAACGGAAGTTATATATTGAAATCGAAGGGGTAGAGAAGAAAAACAACTCATAGAGAGAAAAAGAGAAAAGGAAGTTAAGAGAGAAGAGAAGAGATGATGTCACTAATTTTCTTTGTAAAAAAACATGGAACCTTAAAGTGGTCTTTTTTATTTAAATTATATATATATATATATATAGAGAGAGAGAGAGAGTTATGCCAGTTTTACATAGTTTTTTTCCGCCCCCTAAAATCATCAGCAGGACCCTTCTCTAACCAAGAACAATCACCCCCACTCTTCTTGCCTAACACTTTTTCTACACCACAGTCTACCAATATCTCATAGTAGATATGTTATAGCAGTTTACTCAGCGTAGCTTAGATATGGCACAAGGCCGAAAGTATTGGCTCCCCAGTGAGGATCGAACTCACTACTCAGTCATAATTGAGCAAGCAAGACAAGCTTGCTAACCATTAGCAATTTTCCAAGCGTAGCGCGGCACAAGGCCGAAAGTATGGTGCATCCAGTGATGATCGAACTCACTACTCAGTTGTAACTCTTCTAGCGAGACAGGCTTGCTAACCATTACACTGCCTTGAGGTGCCCAAGCTTGCTAACAATTATATCACGCCGAAGTGATCATAGATATAATATTCCTTGGAATCTGTGGAAAAGAAATTGCGGAATGAGTGGTGAAATTCCGAAAATATATAATAAAATTTTTTTTTTCTTTTTATTTATTATCTCAAAGAAATAAACGTAGCTTTAAAAGCCACAACCGTCTTAAGACCCGAGTGTATTGCGACTGAGTTAGTGTGTGATAGAATGAATCATTTTGAGGATGCAAGTTAAAATAAATTCATTGTGCAGTATCTTGCAAGAATGTCTGTCGATTGGAACAGCTATGAAATTTCATAAAAATAACTTACAGAAAATTCCGGAAGAGATTTTCTCTACACAATGCTAATTGGTCGGTAACTATCAGTACAGTCATGTTTGTGGAAGAAAAAATAATCTCTAAAATAATATTTAAAAAAAAAGGACTCTGAATATTTCCATAATATTTTCAATGGGTGTGTGATCAGTTGAATACCAGAAAACGGACAAGATTTAAAACATTCAACAAGACTTCGTGATTTGCAATTTCCCGCCAAGGTTAATGTATCGTCTGTTTTTGCAGAATGTGCAAAATTCATTATTATTGTTATTATTATTACTCTTTTCATTATTATTATTATTATTATTATTATTATTATTATTATTATTATTATTGGTACCGTTTGTTAGATCCTCAGGTTCTGCTTCAGAAATTCTCCTCATTCAGCAAATTATTTATAGAGTCTCTTTTATTCCTTCAGTTTCATTTTTTTTCAATTCTTGAACGGTTGTCGTCCTTCATTTTTACAATCACGTTTCTTTTTAGTCATCTATCGTCTTTTTTATTTCAATGATGTTCAGCAATATGTTCTTTTTTTTTTAATACTTTCTTTATTTTTCCCTATTTGATTTTATTACGTCGTCGACATTTTTTAAAATAGATTTTTCTTCGTTTTTACCTTCTATTTTTTATGCTATTTCTACGACGATATTGTTTTTTTTTTTCAGCTTAATTCCAGAAATTAACAATTTTTTTTTCCACATTTTTATTTCTTGTATTTTTAAGAAAACCTTCCCATTTTCACCATTATTTAAAGCAATTGTTTTTACTGATTCCTTTTTTAAATGATCGTTTCTTTATCTCGCATATTGATATGAATTATTTTTACTTCTTTTCATTCTCGCTCATTCTTCACTTAGAGATTGATGCTTTTCCTTCGCCTATCAATTAATTTTAACATTTTCTTTTCTGTAACTGCTTTACTTTTGTTCATGCTTCTTTCAAATTTCTTTATTAATATCGTTGCTTATTTTAAGCGCTTCCTCTTCTTGTCTCCTTTCTTTCTTTCTTTCTTTCTTTCTTTCTTTCTTTCTTTCTTTCTTTCTCTTTATTTTTTATATTTTTATTAATAATTCTATTGTTTTTTTATTGTGTAACATTTTTCTTTCGTTTCGACCTTTCTTCTTCTTTTGAATTTTTCTTTTACTTTATTTTTATTTTTTTATTAATTCTGTTATACTTTTTTTCTTGCCTAATTTTTCTTTCTTTCGTTCTTTTCTTTTTTTCTTTCTTTTTTTCTTTTCCTATAAATAATTCTGTTATCTTTTTTCATTGTGCAACTTTTTTCGTTTCGTCCTTTCCTCTTCTTTAGATGTTTTCTTTTTTTCTTTCTTTATTTGTTTTTTCCTATAAATAATTCTGATGTCTTTCTTTGGTTGTGTAACTTTTTTTCTTTTTGACCTTTCTTTCTTTCTTTTTATTTTTTTATTAACTCTGTGGTCTTTTTTCGTAATGAAACAATTTTCTTCCGTTTTGACCTTTCTTCTTTTGATTTCTTTCTTTCTTTCTTTCTTTCTTTCTTTCTATTTTCTTATTATTAATTCTCTTTTCTTTTTTTCCTTGGGTAACTTTTTTTGATTCGACCTTTCTTCTACTTTGCAATGTTTTCCTTTTTTTATATCATTTTCTTTCATTATTTTTATTTTCTGATAACTATTTTTTTCATAGGTTATTTTGTTTTGTTTTCAACCTTTCCTCTTCTTTTTTATTTTTCCTTTCCTTCCTTCTTTCCTTCTTTCTTTTTTTCTTTCTTTCTTTCCTTCTTTCCTTCTTTCTTTCTTTCTAGTTTAATTTTATTTTCTTGTTACTATTTCTCTTTTCCCCCCCTTGACTTAGTTGTTTTTTTTTCTTGCGTTTCGACCATGTCTATTTTTCTCAGTAAAATCTAGATGTGAATCAGCTTTCAACAAACAATCGATTCTGGTTTTCATTTGAGAAACTACTCCTTAATAACCAGTTTGCAACGATCGAAAAAAGTAATAATCAGTAGGTGAAAGGCCAGGTAAATATGGCACCTGTGGTTTAGCAGACCAGCAGCGTACCATATTTTTCCATATGTTACCCTTGACGTATGCGGTAGTATTTTCATGAAGTTTTTTTTATCTCTTTTCTTTTCTTTCTTTTTTCCTCTTTTCTTTTCTTTTTTTATTGTAGAGCACAGGGCTCTTTTCGGACATACTTATACAGATACAATGCAATTCCTGAACGTACGTGGATTCAATATTCCACTGCGTTGTAATAATTCTAAATGAATAAAACCGCGATAACTACACTACACACACGATATTGTCTTTTCTCCATCGATGTTAAGATCGGAAACAAAAAGAAAAGAATACTGAACTCTTGTGTAATATCGGTTCTCCTATATGACAGTGAATCCTGACCAGGCTCCTCAAAGAAGAAGATACTTGAAGCAGCATAACTTGTTTTAAAGAAGGATGCCGAATATCATGTACTGGACATGGCATCAACGACAAAGTTCTATAGACAATGGAAACAAAAACAACATATATACTTAACATCAGAAAAGGACAGTTGAAACGTCTAGTGCATATAAATGAAGAAAGAGGGCTAAGAAAATTTAACACGCAGAGGACATACAGAAGGCGAAGATAGCAGAGGAAAAGCAGGCCATAACATGGTTTAGGAGATAAAGCAAAAATACAAAATTTGCGAAGAGCTACAAAAGACCATAGTCATATGTAACACGTTTTTCATCGCCTAATATGATTTTTTAAAATCGGAATCACCCCAAGCAAGGTAGAGAAGCCACTATGACAAAAAGGGTTACAGGGTATGGAAGAATTAGGAACAGAAACATTAATAATGATCGGGAAGAGAAAAGAGTAATCAGGTGGACCGTAAATAGCGATTGACATTACACTTAAATTTTTGCAGATTAATGTTAGCTGGAAGGCATAGAGCCAGCAGGGAGTTCTACAGACGAGAAATAAGAGAGAAGAAACTGTTAGCATAGAATTTACGGCTCCTTTTTGCCAGCTCAACTGTAAATTGATGAGATCTCGATGCCAGTCTAGTGTTGCGCTTAAATTCAAAAACTCAAGGTACCAAAGCGAAGAGCTCATCCGAACAATTACCATGAAAATATTTAGGGAAAAGACACAGAAAAACAAACGCTAAAGAATATTAAAAGAATAGTTAATCAGGATGACAGATTCATCATTACTCCTGCCTGCCTATCTATCTATCTATCTATCTATCTATCTATCTATACGAAAAGGAGAAGGGCGGTAACGGAGATGTTTTTCTATAGATGGATGCTAAGAATTCCACACCCTTGTGTAAATTAATTGAAACAACCGCTTTAGTTGTAAATCCATTGGAGTGACAGGGTGTAATCGATTTTCTGATAAGTTGTTGAGTCTTGTGTTCGAAGTTGTGAGTAAATTGTCCGTAGTGCATATTTGGTTATTGTTGTTCTACTAATTTCGATTTTAGCAGTCATTATCAATCACCATGTGATGTCTGTGTGGTAGTTAGAAGATAGCAAACAGGTGAATAGTAGATAACGATTGACATTTAAGTTTTGCAGCTTAAAGTTGGCTGGAAAGAATGGAGCCGAAACGGAGTTCCACAAGCGGGAAGTAAGAGAGAAGAAACTGTTAACATAGAACTTACGGCTACATCTCGCCAGCTAAACTGTAAATTGTTGAGACCTCGACGCTAGTCTAGTACTGCGCTTATATTAAAAAGATCAAGGTACCATAGCGAAGAGCTCATTCGAACAATTACGATGAAATTATTTATAGAAAAGACAGAGAAACAAACACTAAAGAATATTAAAAGAATGGTTAATCAGGGTGATAGATTCATCATTACTCCTGCCTGCCTATCTATCTATCTATCTATCTATCTATCTATCTATCTATCTATCTATCTATCCGAGGAGAAGAAGGGCGGTAACGGCGATTTTGTTCTACAGAAGAATGTTAAGAATGTCGTGCAAATTAATTGAAACATCCGCTTTAGTTTCCTTTCTATCAACATACGGTCAGTTTTAGACCCATTGGAGTGACAGTGTGTAGTCGATTTTCTTTCTTAGCTTATGTCATTTGCAGTTGTGCCCAGTAATATGAATCTATTTTCGAGGTGTATGATGAAATTTGTTTGGCTTTGGAAAACGTTGCGTCATCCCTCACTGCATTAGATTTTTTATCACGCCCAGACACTACTGTCTTGACTATGGATTAGTTGCCCTACGGTCATTGTCTGCGATGGAAGTTACTCCGAGGAAGCGTATGAAAATTGTAACGAACACACTGGCCAGCCTTACCAGTGAACAAATCAAAGTACTATAGACCAGCCCGGAAACTCTCCTGATTTAATCTGTGGTCAATTTGCAAGGAAGGACTTCGTCGAATGGACATAGGAAGTACTAAGATGTGCACTGGGTCGGATTTCATTGGAAAAATACGAAAAAAAAAAGGAAATAATAACGGAATTATTTGTTTTACACTATTTACATTATTGGGACTATTGTCCTCATCTTTGTCGCAATATTTATTACAACGTTTCGGTCTTTGTATGCTCTCGCCTTCTTCAGGTGGTTAGAATGTTGAACTGAACCCTTTATTTCACTCACTGGGGTAGACTGTTCTAGTTCCACGTGCCATGTTTAATGGATGTCAATTATCAGTTATCTCTTGTTAATTGCCCTCTACAAGTTCTATCGTCTATATTTCTAAGATGAGGTATTATGTACACTATTTACATTATTCGGTCTATTGTCCTCATATTTGTCGCCATATTTAATACAAAGTTTCGGCCTTCTTCAGGTGGTTGGAATGTCGAACTGAAGCAGCTCCTCGGAGCAGTTACCATATTTATTACAACGTTTCGGCCGTTGTACGCTCCGGACTTCTTCAGGTGGTTGGAATGTCGAACTGAACCCTTTATTTCGCTCACTTGACTATTCTAGTTCCACGTGCCATGTCTAATGGATGTCAATTATCAGTTGTATCCTGTTAATTCGCTTGTTCAAGTTCTATCGTCTATATTTCTGAGATGAGGTATTATGTACACTATTTACATTATTCGGACTATTGTCCTCATCATTGTCGCCATATTTAATACAAACTTTCGGCCTTATTCGTGTGGTTGGAATGTCAAACTGAACCCTTTATTTCGCTCACTGGGGTAGACTTTTCTAGTTCCACGTGCTTCGTTTAATGGCTGTCAGTTGTCAGTTATATACTGAATTATTTGTTTTGTTTCAAATAATTTGCACAAGGGTGTATTGACCTAGTATAATATGCGCCCTCCAATAGGATACGAATCAGCGTACCTCTTGGTAGGAGAAACTGTCGTTAGATCCGACGTGCTTATACCGACTCTTCCATGAAGGACATTTAACTATCAACCAAGGTTGAACAGTGTCTTTGAGCGACATCCTTTTCGTCATAGTTTATTAGATGATCAAATTCGTATCCAAACGTATGCAAAGCAATTTCTAAAGAAGTAATGGATTTTTATTAATTAATTCGATAGATTTAATCACTTCAAATGTTATTTAATGCTTATTCATACTTGAGTAGACATTTATTTATTAAATGGAATATTTATTTGTTTTTCTTCTGAACTGAATATTCAATAAATCTTAATAAAGAAAAACATACGACCCCACTAAGATAACATGTGACGCAAAGGTCCTATTTAATATAATAAGGTGCCCCCACGAATATATATATATATATATATATATATATATATATATATATATATATATATATATAAGAAAAAAATTATTGCACCAAGCCGAAGACCAATGTTACGCTGGTGTTTGTATCGATCAACTCTCCGTAATTACTACAATGGGGGAGGTGCTGCAGCAGGTTTAGAATCCCCAGAATCAAGCATCCCTAATTTATTTGTTGTGTTCTGTCCGAAGACAGTTGAGAGGTAAAATGTAGTCCCTCTGAATGCAGACACATGGGTCGTGGCCAGAAAGTAGGATAAATGCAACTGTATATAACTGATCACCCAACTAAGGCTAGATGTGACACATTTTTCTTACGCATATATTTATATATATATATATATATTGTATTTTAAGCGTTTCACCCCAAGGAAGACGGGAAGCCACTAGCAGGCAAGGAGTTACAGAGAGTTGGAGCGAGAGCAAAGAGGAGTGATAGAGGAAAGGATGAAGAGAAGGATAGAGGATAGATCAGGGCATCTGGAGATATTACATTTGAATAGTTGGAGATTATAGCTATCAGGGAAACAGGAAGAGTGGACGGAGTTCCACAGGCGAGAGGTGCGAGACATGAAGCTATTGGAGTTAGAGACTACTACATTTAACAGTTTCGACAATGAAAGGGTGTGAGCGAGATGCCAGCCTAGTAGAACTCTTAAATTCATGAAGTTTGGGAACCAGCGAAAGCAGCTCCTCGGTGCAGTTGCCATATTAATTACAACGTTTCGGCCGTTGTACGCTCTTCTTCAGGTAACTGAAATGTCGAACTGAACCCTTTATTTCGCTCACTGGGGTAGACTGTACTAGTTCTACGTGACATGTTTAATGGATATCAGTTATCAATTATCTTCTCAAGGATACATGGCACAGTGGATAAAGGCGTTAGTTAGAACCAGTGACAGTACCCAAAGAATGTGAGTTCAATATCTGGTTAAAGCAGTGGAGAACTTTCAGAGGATAATTAACAGGAGATAACTGATAAATGACATCCATTAGACATGGCACGTGGAACTAGAACAGTCTACTCCAGTGAGCGAAATAAAGGGTTCAGTTCGACATTCCAACCACCTGAAGAAGTTCGGAGCGTACAATGGCCGAAACATTGTAATGAATATAGTGACAAAGATGAGGACAACTGTCCGAATAGTGTAGATAGTGTACATAATACCTCATCTCAGAAATATAGACAGATAATGAAAGATTTTTCTTTTTAAATCATTTCACCCCAAGCAAGGCGATAAAGTACCGAGACGCAAGGAATTACTGAGTGGGAAATAATCTGAGAAAAAAAATTCTTAAGAAGAGAGAGCAATAAAAGAATACGGATTAAAGAAACAGAAGACGACGATTGTCATTGCATTTATATTTTTATTTTTTTGACAATCAAAGCTGAGTGGAAAGCAAGAATGTTGAAAAATAATTTCAGACTATTATTTTTTTAGTGACAGTGTATTTGGCTCAGACCTGAGGCTGACCTTAAAGACAGATGGTAGACAAAATGAGTTTGGTACGTTTCGGCGTAGAGCATTTCGCGTGGCTGATTCGACTATTCGGCACATCCATTGAGGCGTCAGACTGTTTCGACGTCATATTCTTTGACCGGAGGCACCCCCAATCCAACACCACCACCACCTCAAAGGGATGAAATCATTGAAAACGCCCAACATGATTTTTTATTCATTTAGGCAATTAAGGATCGTATTAAAAGTATGATGTAAATTAAAAACTTAAATTAAAAATATTGTATTTAAAAAAAAAATAGCGCTGCACTGATTGAAATATAATATAAAAATCTCCAACTATTTTTTTCTTAAATATAACAATGCCTCCAACTTCTCTTTTTCTGAAATATGAAAATGCCTCCAATCTCTCTTTTTCTTAAACTTAAAAATGCCTCCAACTACTCTTTTTCTTAAATATAAAAATGCCTCCAAAAATATGGAGCTGCACTGAAGGAAATGTAATATAAAAATACCTCCAACTCTTCTTTTTCTTAAATTTGAAAATTACTCCAACTACTCTTTTTCTTAAATACGAAAATTACTCCAAGTACTCTTTTTCTTAAATATAAAAATGCCTCCAGCTACTCTTTTTCTTAAATTTAAAAATGCCTCCAACTACTCTTTTTTCTTAAATATAAAAATTACTCCAACTACCCTTTTTCTTAAATACAAACATGTCGCCAACTACACTTTTCCTTAAATTGGACTATTCGAACATATAACGACGAAGTACTAATTTAACTCCTTAACGAGAGAGAGAGAGAGAGTGAGAGAACAAATTTGACTATAAGAGCGAAGTAATAATCTGACGCCTAATTGTCCCTGTGCCGAAAAATTCCTATGTCGAATCGGCCAGGCCGAATCGGCTACGTCGAATCGGCTACGCCGGAACGTCCCATTCCCAGACAAAATAGGGATATAGATTTTGATTGGCTAAGACGAACGTGAGAATATTAAAGAGAGAAAGTGTTTTCGGAGAGTTATGATTTGCATGTCGAAAAAAGCGGACATGTTAAAATCGTGTCTCGATGTCTGCTCCTTAGTGGAGTGGGATAATGGCAACATTGGTTAGTTAAAAATGTACACGAAAACGCTTTAATAAATCAGATAACTTTCAAAATATCTTTTGTTAAGTTCTCATTTTACATCCGAACAAACCAAGTAGCGATCACCCGGCCGGGCAAAGAAGGCAGAGAGAAAAGAATGCAGCTTTATTGCGAAATCGACCCCGTCAATTAAGAGACACCCAGCCCACCCCCCAACCCCGAACGAAAAAGCAGCTATACAACAAGAAGACTGTAAATATTTCCATAAGCGATGATTGCAAAAAAATAAACTGCTAGCATAGAACTTTGGTCATATCTAGCAATTTCAGCTGTAAAATGATGAGACCTAACAGCCAAACTAGTACTGCCCTTAAGTTCGTAAAGTCGTGAGGCGAAAGGGGAAAGCGATATTTATTTGTAAAAATACAAAAATGTGGCACAAGGCCAAAAGGGAGATATGACTGGCTGGTTTTCTTCTGTCTTATAATTAAACCGAGTTCGCCACGAATGCTGACCCAAAATTTCCACAGTATTTCTTAGAACAAAACAATACATTCTTACTTACCATTCTTACTACAGCTACCATAATACATCAAAGTCGCCATGAAGTCCTGACTAGACACCATATGTATAATCTTTTGTCTGTGAGAGGAATAAAAACAAAAAAAAAAAAAAACATCAATTTCAAAATGCAACACCAATGTATTGACAATGTATTTTTATATATCTTTACAAGAACCTAAGCTAATCAAAACAATTACCATGAAGATATTTACAGAAAAGACAGATGGAAGCTACGTTTCGGCGACTGGAAAGTGACTAAAGCCGAGGTATTAGGTCAAGACCGATAATATTGCATATTAATAATTTTTATGAAGATTCTCTAAATACGTAGCAGAAACACCAGACCAGATGTAAGAGCAATAGTCCATGGGGAAATAATAGATTATTAAGGTGTAAGATAGATTCTGACGAGAAATTTTGGTTAACACGAAAGAGTAGACCGACCTAGCAATTGTTTCAATATGATCGTTCCATTCCAAATTGAAATTAGACTATTTTTTGTTGTTGTTAAATGATATCTTTTGTTTCTTTTTGCAAAGATCAATTTTAAAATTATAACTTCGACAAAAAAGAAATTGTCTCTTCCCCGACGTTACTTGGATTTCTCATCCAGCAAATGAATGACATCAGTTCCTTTTGCTCTTCTGGATTTTTATCTAACTTTTTTTTTTTTCACTTCTCTATTGTTTCACGGTTTTCGTTTTTTGTTTTGTTACATAATACTTCTCCGTTCTTTTTGTCTTCAACATCTTTCGACTATTTCGTTCCGCCTCGCTTACCAAAATATTTTTGAAAATCAAACACTGAAGACTTAGCAGTAATTTAAGAACAATACAACTTTTTTTTCTTCTTCCAAGTCAGCTACGCTGTAGTTTATTTATTTCTTTTATTTATTTCTTTTTTTTCCCCCAATTCGCCATTATCTTCCAAATATTAAGTTTCCTCTTGCTTTTTCCTCAATAAAAAAACAAAAAACAAAAACTTTTTATCCCCTTCAACGGATTCTGTTTCATTATTTTAATTTTTTTTTCCCTAACATAACGGCATAAAAATCATCTTATCCACTTTCTTCGCCCTTTGCTTTCATTTAAAAGCAGACGAAGACTCGCCATTAGCAAAACGAACTTCCGCCATGATATTGTTCTTGTTACGTCACCGACATGCGCACAAGTGCAAAACTGGGTGCACGTTTGGACACGGATTAATTTAGATGTTCAGAAAAACTGCTGAAAAGCCCAGTAATACAATGCTGTGCGGTGCACTGCGTTAGGTTGTATCAATAATACCTTAGATTTGTTTTCAGTGCTTTCCATGGCATTGATGTATTTCTGTATTAATCAAAAGTGGAAGGTGGTTTGGTTCGTGTGAAAGCGTGCTAGAAGGTAGACCAGTGCAGACCTTCGTATTACTATAATGCAAGGAGCTTTATCTTTCAGCTAATTAATGGCTTCGTTTGCCTCTGATGATCTTTTTTAATTAGTTAAAATTGTCTGAATTTCTGATATAGGATACTCTCATTATTCTGCTAAATATTCGGGTCTGTTTTTTTCCATTTAGGTGCGAATATTCTGAAGCAATAAATTGGCAACCCGATACAGAATTCTGAGCTAAATTTGGATCCGAAATTTTCAGTGTATAATACTGAATTTGATATTGACTAGTTACAATTACAGAGATTAAGAAAATTAAAAGAATTTGTAGAGTGCACACACGTATATCTATCTATCTATCTATCTATCTATCTGTACGATGAATATAGCAAAAAAGATGAGGACATCATAAATAGAAGGGAAACTTAGTTTTATAGACTCAGGTTAAATAGGCGGGCAGACTAAGTTCTTTAGTAATATATATATATATATATATATATATATATATATATATATATATATATATATATATATATATATTATTTAAAAAAAATATAACATAAATATGTTATAAAATCACTACAAAAATAGCCATTTTGTTTCAACACCTCCGGTGTCTTATCAAGTGATAATGTTGAATGTAAAATAAATGGTTTTAGATTCAACATCATCACTTGATAAGATACCGGAGGTATTGAAACAAAATGGCTAATTTTGTAGTGATTTTATAACATATTTATGTCATAATTTTTTTTAATAAATAATTATATCTGCCCTACTCCGTATTGAGCACTCTTTTAAGAATAGTAATTGTTGGTTATTGGAATTCATTCCGTATACACCAATTATATACAATTATATACTATATATATATATATATATATATATATGTGTGTGTGTGTGTGTGTGTGTGTATGTGTGATAATTTAATAAGAAATAATAAAGTTCAAATCTGAGTTTAATCATTTCTAAGTCAGCACTTGTCCGGATATTCGATAATTTTTACCGATAATTATTGAACTGTATTATTTTTGATTCAATAATTATTGCCGTAGACAGCTATCAGGCAAGAATTATGTCCGTCTTGCTCATAATAAACTGATTATACTAACAATATTACTACTACTAATAATAATAATATAACAACGACAATCCGTGGGATCTATGTGAACTTTACGTTCGATTTCAGGCTAGCATATAAAAATCTTTATTAATATGGTTAAATATCATTTTTTTTTTTTTTAATAAATTCATCCCAGGCAAGGCGATAAGGCCACTAAGATACAAGGGGCTACTCCGTGTGAAAGAGCATGAGAAGATTTTAAAAAAGAACTAGAATCCTAAACTGGAAACCAGGGATAAACTCCTATTCATGTTTAAAAGAATTGGGAGGAGTGTGAACACGACGATAAACACTCTGATGAGCATTTCAATACAAAAGTTGGCTAACATGAAAAGTCACCTGAACTATTCTTTACTGAATATAATTAAAATTATATAATTTTATGTATATTAATAGATAACATTATTAGACACACACACATAACATTGAAGAAATTATTTAAAAAAAAAACTATTATAAAATTTTAAATCAAGTAACAATAATCATCCTACAGCATAAACAATAATAATAACAACTTCTGTAATTATAGAAATCCTAAGGAGTGACCATTGCAAAATAGGTGCCAAAATGATTTTCTTGTTTATCTAAATACTATTTCATCTAGAGAAAATCCACCTATTAAAAAAATTTATATCTGTAGTACCAAAAAGCTTGGCGAGTAATTATACATTTATATTACTCAAAGTGGAGCCCAATATTGTTATAAAAATCTCGAAGAATTCCACTAAGATATATTTAATTATTTCTAAGATACAATGTTTGAAAGCTTAATCTATCAAATGGAGAAATTTTCTTTTACACGATGTGGACACTTTTGCTGTTACAACCGGTACAATCCATCAGTAAATATAATGGAAAAATGGTCGTTTTTTTGTTTCTGACTACTGCTATACTCTACTATTGCAAGAAGCAAACCAGTCCTAAAATTGAGTAATGGATCATTATCTGTACTGGAGCTACACAGTCTTTATTTTCTCGTTTTGATAGAGTTCAATAGCGTGCATGATTCATTATTTTTCACCCGACAACCCTTTCCAATTGACGAAACATCGCAATGCTCTCGCTAATTTTCATGGAAATATTCTGACTGGCTTAACTTCTTAATTCCACCAATTCTAAAATATCAAATATACTTCAAGTGCTGAAGGTTTGCGTTCAGTCCCAGTTAAAATCAAATGTCTTGAATTTTCTCAACATGCACGAAATAAGACAATTTTCTTTTTCGTCTCCTTTACTTATCTTTTTTACTAATATTCACCTAATAAAAGATAATAAATTTTCTCTTTCGTCTCCTTTACTTTATCTTTTTTTTTACTCATATTCACCTAATAAAAGATATTTTTCTTTTGCATTCTTTATTTTATCTATTTTAATAATATTCACCTAATAAAAGATAATAAATTTTCTCTTTCGCATTCTTTACTTATCTTTTTTACTAATATTCACCTAATAAAAGATAATAAATTTTCTCTTTCGCAAACTTTACTTATCTTTTTTAATAATATTCACCTAATAAAAGATAATTTTTTTCTTTTGCATTCTTTACTTATCTTTTTTACTAATATTCACCTAATAAAAGATAATAAATTTTCTCTTTCGCATCCTTTACTTTATCGTTTTTTTTTTACTAATATTCACCTAATAAAAGATATTTTTTCTTTTGCATTCTTTATATGATCTTTTTTAAAAATATTCACCTAATAAAAGATAATAAATTTTCTCTTTCGCATCCTTTACTTATCTTTTTTACTAATATTCACCTAATAAAAGATAATTTTTTTTTCTTTTGCATTCTTTATTTTATCTTTTTTAATAATATTCACCTAATAAAAGATATTTTTTTTCTTTTGCATACTTTATTATATCTTTTTTAATAATATTCACCTAATAAAAGATAATTTTTTCTTTTGCATTCTTTATTTTATCTTTTTTAATAATATTCACCTAATAAAAGATATTTTTTTTCTTTTGCATACTTTATTATATCTTTTTTAATAATATTCACCTAATAAAAGATAATAAATTTTCTCTTTCGCGCCATTTACTTATCTTTTTTAATAATATTCACCTTATAAGAGATAATAAATATTCTCGTTCGCATCCTTTATCTTTTTTACTAATATTCACCTAATACAAAATAATAAATTTTCTCTTTCCCGTCCATTACTTTATCTTTTTTTACTAATATTCACCTAATAAAAGAGCCACTCAAGTTAGAGGAAAAAGGAGAAGGAAAAAAAGGACGTTGTTGGATGAGTCGTTAGAGGAAGAGATAAGAAATCCTGTTCCGGAGAATTTGTGGGGAAAATAACGTGTAATCATATACTTGAATAGGTTATGATTGCAATGGCCGTGAAACCGCTCTCATGGGAGTTTGTTTTACAAAGTAGAAGTTCCCAGGAAGAAGATTACTGAGTGGAATTTTTTTCTACGTCATGCGATACGGATTCGAATGGGAATGCTTCGTTCTTGTGTACTTGTCATGATCGGTCCTGAAATGTGAAATTTAGAACTGGTGGAACCAAAGAAATTAGTTAGTCGCCAGTTTTCCACGGAAATTTGCGATAGAATAACGTGAGACTTGCAATGTTTCGTCTACGGGAAAGTGGTCTAGCGTGGAAAATAATTAATCCCCTACAAGGCAGCACAAACGGTTTAAAACTGTATTAAAGACTGGAAAGGGAAGACTGGGTTAATCCAGCGCTGATATGGCAGAATTACTCTTAGAATTTTAGTAGGGGTTTTTGCTCTTGTAAAAGTAGAGTATAAATAATAGGAATCGGGAACAAGGAACAGACCATTTTTCTAGTATCTTTAGTGACGGATCGTATATATGAGTTCCAATAGAGTCCTGGGGTGAAAATATCAATAGCACAAAGGGCAAAGGGGCCTTCTTGAGAGAAACCACGTTCGTCGCGTTTAGAGGAAATTCACGATGATAAGGGACCGTTATTTTTATTTTTTTTATTTTTTTAGGTATTGAATGTGACAAGATAGTTTCCCTGATACTTGTCCTTGTGCCTCACTTAACAAAGTTTGGTAAATCTTGAAAGTAAGAAAAAGATTGACTACAATTGACCTGCCAAGGAAACCTACACCTGTTAGCGGAATGACAACACGCACTCAACAATATATCGGAAGTAGTAATGCTTATTATTCATATCATATAAAAATAAAACCGGTATTTTTTTTTTAAATAAAAGAAAAAAGAAAAAAGATAAGGCTTTTCAAAATCAACTATAACTAATACATTTAGACTAGGTGGGGTGATTATACTGTTATGTCCCTGTCAAAACCTGCACTGAGGAAAGTCACGCCTACGTACAATGAATATAATGAACGCAATGAAAGGAGAACAAAATGCAAAAGAATACGACAAAAGGGGAGGTAATCAGTGCCATCTGATGTCAAACAGCGAAGGTCGTTCGAGTCTGAGCGGATATCGGACGCAGACGACACGGGATCCATACCTACTGGTCTTGTTAATGCCTTCCATCTTGTATATCAAGCCCGCAAAATCTACACAGTCCTTTTTCTCGAGGCACCCACCACGCATGCTCGAACGTACATACATACATATATATATATATATATATATATATATATATATATATATACACACACACACACACATATATATATATATATATATATATATATATATATACACACACACACACACACATATATATATATATATATATATATATATATATATATATATATATATATATATGCAATACATGCCACTCTCTTCCAATGTTCTAAAGTGGCGGGAGTGGAGGGAAACCAGACTTCCTGTCTCCAATATTTTCTGGGTATCAGGACATGTCCGGGCATTTGATAGTGATCTCTGAATAATATTAATACGTTTTGAAATCATACTCTCCGTCTACAATGTTTCTTTCATCTACTCACTTAGTTCCTATCTTCATATCCGGCCCTCGTCTAACTTCCGCACTCCCCCTCCATCTCCTCGTTCTTCTTCTTCTTCTTCTTCTTCTTCTTCTTCTCCTCCGCCTCCTTCTTCTTCTTCTTCTTCCGATCGCTTCCTATTTTTATTCCTATTTCTTACCTTGTTCTCTGCACATCTTCAGTTAGTTCCTTGACTATTTTCCTTCATTCTTCGCTTCCTTCTTATATTTTTTCCATGTTTCCTTTTGCTTTTCCTCTTCCTGTTCTCTTGTTCTTTCTTCTATTCAATTATTTTTATTCTATATTTGATTTTTCATGTATTTCCTTTTCATCGTCTTCTTCATTTTCGCTTACCCTTTTTTTTCTGCTCTTTTACATCTTCTTCCTGTTCATTTTCTTTCATTTTTCTTCTTCTCCACAATTCTTTCTATTTTGATATTTTTTTGTTTTTATCTTCGCTTCCTTTCAATATCTTCTTCTTTTTCTGTGCTCTCTCTTTATTCTTCATTTTTTTCTTTTCCGTCATCTTCTTCATTTTCGCCATTCTTTGTTTTCTGACCTTTTACATTTTCATCCTCTTCGTTTTCTTTCATTTCTTCATCTTCTTTTTCACAATTCTTCATTCTATTCTGACCATTGTCTTTGGTTTTCTCTTCGCTTCCATTCAGTATCTTCTCCTCCTCGTTCTTCTTCTTCTTCTTCTTGATCTTCTCCATCTTGTTCATTTTAGCCATTTCTGTTTTCTGACCTTTTACATATTCTTTTTATTTCGCTTTCATTTCTTCTTCTTTTCCACAATTCTTCTTTTTATTCTGACCTTTTTCTTTATTTTTCTCTTCGCTTCCTTTCATTATATTCTTCTTCTTATTATTATTATTATTATTTTTCTTCTTCTTCTCTCTTTATTTTTGATCTTTTTCTTCTCCATCTACTTTTTCATTTACACCATTCTTTGGTTTCTGATCTTTTACATTTTCTTTCCCTTCGCTTTCTTTCATTCTTCTTCTTCTTCTTCTTCTTCTTCTTCTTCTTCTTCTTCTTCTTCTTCTTCTCTACCACCCGTCTTTCAATTCTGTTCTTTTTCCTTTGTTTTTCTCTTCTTCCTTTCAATATCATCATCATCATCATCATCATCATCTTCTTCTTCTTCTTCTTCTTCTTCTTCTTCTTCTTCTCTCTCCATTCTTGATCTTCTCCATCTTGTTCATTTTAGCGATTTCTGTTTTCTGACCTTTTACATATTCTTTTTTTTTTTCACTTTCATTTCTTCTTCTTTTCCACAATTCTTCTTTCTATACTGACCTTTTTCTTAATTTTTCTCTTCGCTTCCTTTCATTATATTCTTCTTCTTCTTCTTCTTCTTCTTCTTCTTCTTCTTCTTCTTCTTCTTCTTCTTCTTCTCTTTATTTTTGATCTTTTTCTTCTCCATCTACTTTTTCATTTACGCCATTCTTTGGTTTCTGATCTTTTACATTTTCTTCCCCTTCCTTTCTTTCATTTCTTTTCTTCTTCTTCTTCTTCTTCTTCTTCTTCTTCTTCTTCTCTACCGTCTTTCAATTCTGTTCTTTTCCTTTGTTTTCTCTTCTTCCTTTCAATATCATCATCATCATCATCATCTTCTTCTTCTTCTTCTTCTTCTTCTTCTTCTTCTTTCTTGATCTTCTTCTTGTTCATTTTAGCTTTCTCTCCTTTTTCTTTATTTTTTCTTTCGATTATATTCTTCTTCTTCTTCTTCTTCTTCTTCTTCTTCTTCTTCTTCTTCTTCTTCTTCTTCTTCTCTTCTTTATTTTTTTGATCTTTTCTTCTCCATCTTTTTTCATTTACGCCATTCTTTGGTTTCTGATCTTTTACATTTTCTTCCTTTTTTCTTTCACCTTCTTCTTTTCTTCTTCTCTACCATCCGTCTTTCAATTCTGTTCTTTTCCTTTGTTTTTCTTTTCCTTTCAATATCATCATCATCATCATCATCATCATCATCATCATCATCATCATCATCATCATCTTCTTCTTCTTCTTCTTATTCTTCTTCTTCTTCTTCTTCTTCTTCTTCTTTTTCTTCTTCTTCTTGTCTTCTCTCTCCATTCTTGATCTTCTCCATCTTGTTCATTTTAGCGATTTCTGTTTTCTGACCTTTTACATATTCTTCTTTTCGCTTTCATTTCTTCTTCTTTTCCACAATTCTCCTTTCGATTCTGACCTTTTTCTTTATTTTTCTCTTTCTCTTCCTTTCAGTATCTTCTTCTTCACTTCGTGTGTTCCCTCTTCATTCTTCTTCTTCTTCTTCTTCTTCTTCACTTTCCACCATTCTTCTGTGTTCTGAGCTTGTCCTTTTTTTTTCTTCCTCTTCTTTTCCTTTCGTTTCTTTACTGTATAATTTCTCCCTACTTATCATCTTTCCTAGTCTTCTTCCGCCAGGTGCTTTCCTTCATTTTAACCTTCACTAACCACGATCTATCTCTCTTTCCCTCTTTCGCAATTATATCCGCTTTTCTTTCTCTTCTTCTATATCACCTTCAATGTTTTTCTTCTCCCTGTTTTTTTTTTTTTTTACTCTTTTCTAACCTATTATTCAAGTCTCTACACAATGACTTATTCTCGGCCCTTCTTCCTTTACGCGCGTCTCTTTTCTTTTTCAGAACTCGAAATATAAATTTTCTCCCGTATTACTAATCAGAAATTCATATTAGCATTTCATTCCGAGAGCAGATCCTTCAGGAGTAATATTTCTCGCCGAACAAACATCAGCGACTGACCGGCAACAAACGAATCGAGGGGTTATCGTCCCCATGAGAAATACAACAAAAAAGATTTTCTAAAAAGCACATTGCTTTAGAAGCCTTTACTTCTGCACGAAACGCCAATAACTGATCATATTGAATTAAATGCAAAATAATGGTTTCATTATACGAACTGTTCGGCTCTTGATGTAAAGGTTTATTTTATATTAAATTGCTTACATGAGCGGATGAGCTCGTACTTTTGCCGCGTAGCTAAGCTCCTTCGGTGGCCCCTTCTTCATATCTGGGTTTAAAATCGGAGAGGTAGTAATACATGCGTAGCGTGTATTTAGAAGATAAACATAGCAGTGACCAGTCCTCTCGAGGTCGATACACCGCCGAATTTGAAAGTTGGCCCTGGTCACGAAGACGAGAAAACCGTTCGCCCTGGTCATTTGACTTCAGTCAATGAGGCTCTCCGTCCAAATACGGTGTTTCTAAAGAATATCCAGTAATATTTTGGCGTACGGTGTTTCTAAAATCAGCTAAATACTGAGGAAATCATTAAACACTGTTTTTTTCAGGTCTATAGCATTGTAGTGGACTGAATCAGTGGTTATTTGATAGAGTAGTTATCAAAGTTTGATTGGGTGTCAGTTTCACCGCTGTCTTTAGTATAACTTCCAGTGCAGCTGAATTGTGGGAAGACAAACGTATTTCAAATGCTCCAAAACTGGCTATTCACTTGACTGCAAGCAGATTCGAATGACTTCATTTTTCAGCAAGATGGAGCACCACCCCATTGGCATCTCGGGGTTAGAGCTTATCTGAATGAAAACGTGCCTCAGCGATGGATTAGGAGGAGAGGTGCTAAAGACCTTGATCTATGTGCTTGGCCTGCCAGATCCCCGGACTTCACTGTGTGTGACCATTTTCTTGTCGGGGTATGTTAAAGACCAAGTTTATGTTCCAGTACTTCCAGCAAGTATCGATGACTTGAAAAATCGAATAACAGTTGCAATCAACAAGGTGGACCGTGACATGCTAAGGCGCGTTTGGGAGGAATTCTCATATCGGCTTGATGTTGTCCGCGCTGCCGGTGGTGGCCATATTGAGCGCTTATAAACATGAAATGAAACTTGAATGTATATACAACACATGTGTTCATGCTAGAGGTTTGTAATTTGTTTCGTTTTGGGCATATCACGTGATGATTTTGGCGTATTCTTTTTGAAACACCCTGTACCATGTCATCTTTGTACTGGTTGCGTACAAAACCGTGTAGTTCACCCTCTATTGTTGTGCCTGATGGCTGCTAACATTAACTCTAAGAAGATTCACCCTACCTTTGATAGGTCTTGCTTTTAATCCTGCTGAGTGTCGTGCCACCCTCCTCACCAGGAATGCCTGGAATGCCTGGAATGCTTGGAATGCCCAACATAAATGGTTGTAGACATCTCTCATTCTCTCACGCCAGGAAACAAATGCACAATTATACAAAAAAAAAAAACATTTACACTGAAATGAATGTTGAAAATCAATCAGCCAGTTAAGTGTCATACGTGATACACGACTTGGAAGATTTTCCCGCAGTAGGTTGTCATTTCTTTCTGCAGTAGACTGGTTGCCAACCAAGGCTATAGGTCTGTACTGCTATTCAATCCTTTTATCCAGATCATTCACTTAATTGCCATACGTGATACACGCTTGGGTGACCATTTGATTGACAAAGCAAAAGATTTTCCTGAAGAAGGTTGCCATTAAATTTCTGCATTAGACCGGTTGTCAACCAACGCTATAGTGCCCAGTCTGTTCTGATATTCAATCCTTTTATCCAGATCAGTCAGTTAATTGCCATACGCAAAACACGCTTAAGCGATTATGTCTCTTTCGATTCATGACTATCTAAGCAGAAAATTTTCTCTCAGTAGGTTGCCGTTTCGTTCTGCGGTAGACTGGTTACCAACCAAGGCTATAGGACCGTTATTTAACCCGTAGCTGGGGGAAGAAGAGATAGATTCATACCTTTCCCAATCTTATTTGCGCGTAAGTGAATGTAATTTAACCTACTGGAATTCGAACCCGGCTCTCTTATTTTTCATCCTCGCCGATATTATTACACTATAATGCATATCCTGTTGAAAAGTACCGACTGCATAATCAACGCTCAATACTTCAGCACCCTCCTCAGTATTCTTGCTGATTTTAGTAATGCTGTCGTCTGGATAGGTTTCGATTCTTCCTAGGATTTCCAATACAACTCAGAGTTTTCTGGCGGTGACAGCGGATGAACCAACGATAGCAATTCTATCCAAATATTGCAGCACCCTCCTCAGTATTCTAGCTGATATAAGTAACCCTCTCATATAGATAGTTTGGATTCTTTATCGGATTTTCAATTCGTACTTCATACTTTCTTGTGATCATCTCAGTTGAATGAGTTGCATTAGGTCACTTCAATACTCCAGAACTCTCTT